GGGTGACCTTATTCTAAGGGTGACCTTATTCTAAGGGTGACCACTTTAGAAAATCTTCAACAGTCAGGTGCATTTTGAGTAAGACTCAAATCTGTCCAGTTGACAAACATCTGGGCAGCCTACACCAACCTGTAGCAACCACGAGCCGAGCAGAGTCGAGGTGAGGCCCATCCAGAGGTCCATCCCTCTCCAGCATCCCTGCTGTGATGTTCCAGCCAAGCCTGCATCCCACCATATGATGGCAGAAGGGTTGCAACACTGGGCAGCTGCCGGGGAACGTGCCCGTTAATCAGGCACCTTTCAAATCTAATGGCCTTTTGGAAGAAGACACAGCCCCGCAGCGGATTCTTGCCTGTTCTGGGACTCCTTCCACATCAGATGAGGTTGATCAGCAGTGCAAAGGATGTGCCAACCAACAGCGTTTGGCACTGGAGTTAACAGAGGGAGGCTGAACGTGGTGCTGTGCGAGATTTATGTGAGAGACTACTCAGGGTGTAGCGTTGTGATAAACTAGCTTGGCTACCAGAGCTGGTTTAGGCATTTCCTACCATCCTTTCTCCTTTCCCTCCTCACAGCCCCCTTGGTCTCTCACCTCATCTTCCAATTGACCATCCTCACATCCACCAATACAACTGCTGGGTAACCACACTGGAAACTAAACTGGGAATTTAAGCTATTTTAATATCAAAGGCAACAAACTGTGGTGTGACACCCTCACTTGCAAGCACGAGTGGAGAGACCACCAGCAGTTCCAGAGGAATAACACATGATTTAGCATGTCTGTATGCTTATCTGCATAAAATTGACCCTGTAAGTGTGTATTTATGTATTTAGGCATTGAGGGTTGTTTGGGAGGGGAGACCATTTAATGTCTTGCCTCGTTGCCTATCATTTTAAGGCTAAATCGGGTTGCTTTGGGCGTTTGAGAGACAAATGCCTCAAACTGGGACCACCCACAAGAAGCTTCCTGGCCATTCCTGGAACACTGATGATTTGGAGATCTTTGACCTGCAGGATCACGACTGGGCATCACTCTCCTCACACACATCCTCCCAGAGCCCCCCAGCTGGCAGCTCTTGGAGAAGCTGCCTATTTCACATCTGCCTGCAGTCAGGAGCCTGGATGGTTTCCAGATGGGGCTGCTCACACGGCTGCCAAGAATCCCCTTCTCCTCAGCTCCCCCAGGGCTTTGAGGGGCTATTATTGGTCCCGGCCTCCACCCACTTCCGCAGATTCAGGCGGCTTTTCCTGTCTCCGCGTGGAACGAAGCTCTGTCCCAGCCAGCCAGAATCAGAGGAAGAACAGCAGGGATCTATTTACTTCCTAGAATTATTGCCTGGTAGCTTGAAGGTACTTCTGCCAGCCAGAATTCCTTCTGAGTTTTACAACAAGAGATTTTTTGGGCGTTGTGGGTTTTTTCCTCACCTTTTTTTATATATATATATTTTTTTAAAACTCTTGCTAGTACTTCAGGGCAGTGCCCAAAGAACAAGCCACAGTAGTCCCATGGTTTGGGCATCCATGTGGCTTTGGGAAGACAAACCCCTCCCTGCTTGACTTGGCTGGAGTGATGGTTTGATCCTCTTATCTTCCATATCCCAGAAAAATAACATCTGAGCTATCAAATTAGAGTCTGTAGGCATCATGGAAGATTACCTAACCTAGTAGTTCGTGCTTTGCTCATCTTCTTCCCTCCCAAGGGCCCCCAGGCCTCTGCCGAAGGCAGTTGCTCACCTGCACAACGTATCCCGAGATGCATTTGAAATTCGGCGGTTGCGGGATGCCGTCTATAAGCACTTCTCCAGACAGGCCTGCTGGGTCCTTTCTAGCAGCCAGCACATCTAGGAGACTTCAGAAAAACACCAAGCATTAGGTTTTTTGCCGTTAAGAGCTGCTTTTACCTTTAATTGGGCAAGTACCACCAGGCTGGACTGCTCTCGGCGTGCTGCAAACCAGAGGGGCAGCAGCCTCTACTCTGGGAGCTTTAGCTCTTTGCACAGAAAGCCTTTACAAAAAATAGAGGATTTTCCAGCAGAAGGTGTGCCCCAGCAGTATGGTAGTATGGGGACCCCCCCCAATTCATGGCAGTCAGCCCCCCACAGACATAAACTCAGCCTCCCAATTAACAGCAGACCTCAAATGCGCACAGACAAAAGCCCCCTGCAGTCTGCTCTCCAGCCAGGGGAGCACAGAAGTAACCGCTTTGATCTCAAGGAAATTAATCCAAATGGGCATAAACAAGACGCAGAGCTGGGACTAATTCTATAAAGTAATTCTGTTTTAACGTATCACTGGATTCCCCTCACCGCCACAGCGGAGGCCAGCCTGTCTGCTGGCTAAGTAAACACCACCCTGGTGAAGTGCTGCTCTCAAAAACATCCTGATTAGCCAGGAGTCTCCTTAGAGAGGAATATCAAGGGTCACCACAAAGATACACCTCTGGCTGTACTTGCCCAAGAGAGGAATATCAAGGGTCACCACAAAGATCCACCTCTGTGAACTCTGGCTGTACTTGCCCGGTCTCTGACACTCTCAGAGAGTGACAAAAAGCTCTCTTACCGTGGTTTTACAGGGGAGAAAACAGCACCAGCACTGGCTGGAGACAGCCTGCATGGTATTTCTGTCTTTCCACCCAAAGAACTCAAGCACATGTGCACCCACCACCACCACCAGGCCACCGCCAAGATGGGGTGAGGAGCCAGAGCATCCCACAGATTGACAGTCAGTTCTCAGTGAGGGGTTTGGCCTTGCATCTCCAAAGAAGTCTTGCTGCAGTGACTTCACGGGGGATGAGATCTCTCCTGCCCCGAGGGACTTTACACCCCCCTCCCCACCCCATTACAGGTCTAGGGCAGAGCCTACATCCAAGCTCCAGTCAGCCCAGTATCTTAACTCAGGCCACCACCAAGGTGACTGCAGCGACATGGACCATAAACCCCAGCAGATATGGGGTGTGACACCCCTGCAGGGCAAGAACTCTAGCAAAGGTGACAGCAACGGGCCACCAGGTCAGATTGCATCCCCCAGTTTCTCACGGGCATGCAAAGGTCTGAGCCTCACGTCTTCCCCCAGCCCTCAGAACCCCAAACCCTCTTTGAGCAGCTGACTGTCCCTCTGGAGAAGCAGAAGAAAGTACTCACGAAGATTTACCGCTCCCTGTGGGCCCCAGGATAGCATTCAAGCCTGGCTTCATAATGCCACTGGAAGAAGGAAAGAGTTATTTCCAAATGGAGGACTGTTCACATGCAGCTCACAGCAGAGGTAAGGTGTGAACAAAATGCTGTTGGAAAGGAAAACTTAGAGATTATTAAAAACTTCTCCTTCAATCTGAAATCAATAAGCATTTTTCCTTTCTTGTCCCAGAACCAGAGCTGGACATAAAAAGCGATCGACAAAAGGCAAAAATTAAAGCATCTTTCGTGCTGAGCTGAGTCTCGAAAACAAGACACAACTTCTCTCTGCTGCTCATTTCCTCTGACTACAGCTTGAACCACAGCTATGGGAAACCCCAGATCTTCTGGCAAAAGAGTTCGCACAAGTTTGGTCCTAATTTGCTCAGATCAGTATCTGAAACTGCTCCAGCTAAATCCTGGTTACTTTGCCTAAGAGCAAATTATAAAGCACTCGCATGAGCTGCGGACTGGCAGGAGGGTACTCATTTCTTTACCAGCACAGCTGGATCTGGAAGGTGACACTGAGGTCACTGATTCACAGCAGCAGATTAATTCCTACCCTCCGGTATTTTATTTAAGCCAGAACTTACTAAACGTTATGAAGGATCTTCTTTTCCACAGTTTTCCGTTTACATAGGAATCCACTGGACTGCTTAACGGAGTACTGGATGTTATGGAAACTCACAACAGAGCCCCGAGGAGATCGCAGGGACTCTCGCGTTGGAAGAGAACGTTGGAAATTGCCCGCTCCTTCCTCTTCCCCAACAGCAATAATGCTGTGGTCAGATGTGTCTGCCATCATGTCCTTGTTAGACAGGTCAAGCTCCACTGCATGGAGTTTTTTAAGGTCACTGTTGTTTTGAGCAGTTCCCATCTGGTGAGACAAAGAAACACGTCAACATGCAGGGAAGGAGACACGTGAGCAAAGGTTTCTGCAGAAAGTGTCTTGAAAAAGCAAGTTCACGCACACCACGCCGGTCCTCACCCGCGCCAAGTTTCCAATAGGATGGACATCCGCACTGGAAGGCATCCAGTAGTCCCCAAAGGCACGGAAACCCACAGATTTAGAACAATACACATGGCCTTTAAGAACAAGACGTGTAAGTTCTTGGAGCGATGCGAGCTCAAAGAGCATCTAATGAAGTCCAAACCGAGCCCATCTGTGATGGTCACTGTCTTGCTCAACACAGCGGGGACTACAAATGGAAGCTGCTACCACTTAAGCTGAAGAGACTCAAGCTCCCTTCCTTCAGACATAACATGCTTCACACACACCCCAAAGCCAACAGAGAAAACCTATTAATGAGTCTCTCTGAAGAACCACAGGAAGACAAATGGTTGTGCTTATGAAAATGAAGGCCAGTCACACACACCTCGTTTGCTGGCACAAGTTTGTTTCAGAGATACCAGTGAGATTAAAATAACAATTACACATGTTGCTTGTCATGTTTCAGTCACACCAGTATCAAGATACTTCACGGCTACAAATAGGAAAAGGAAATTTGGATTTGTCTGCAGGCACCATTTACCCTGAAGAACTGCAGGAGTTCTCCTTCCCACAGGAAGGGATCTGGGACATGCCACAATAAAGAAAAACATGGTATAAACTGGGACATAAGGAAAATTAAATACGGTATCTATTTTACAGAATCACAGAATGCTATGGGGTTGGAAGGGACCTCTGGAGATCATCCAGTCCAACCCCCTGCCAGAGCAGGGTCATCCAGAGCAGGTTGCACAGGAACGTGTCCAGGTGGGTTTGAATGTCTCCAGAGAAGGAGACTCCACCACCTCTCTGGGCAGCCTCTGCCAGGGCTCTGCCACCCTCACAGGAAAGAAGTTCCTCCTCATGTTCAGATGGAACTTCTTATGTTCAAGTTTGTGCCCATTTCCTCTTGTCCTGTCACTGGGCACCACTGAAAAAAGACTGGCCCCATCCTCCTGACACCCACCCTTTAAGTATTTATAGGCGTTGATCAGATCCCCCCTCAGTCTTCTCCAGCCTAAAAAGACCCAAGTCCCTCAGCCTTTCCTCATAAGAGAGATGTTCTAGTCCCCTCATCATCTTTGTAGCCCTCTGCTGTACCCTCTCCAGCAGTTCCCTGTCCTTCTGGAACTGGGAAGCCCAGAACTGGACACAGGACTCCAGATGGGGCCTCCCCAGGGCAGAGCAGAGGAGGATGATGACCTCTGATCTATTTGCAATCACAAAGTTATAAAGCTTTGTGGTTCCAGCAGGTAAGCTGCCCTGTAGCTCAGGATGGGAACACCTGAAAAGGAAGGACACGTGAACAACAACGGGAAGGAACTGCTCTCCCTGCCCATGGATCAGAGTCTACACAGTAGGAAAAACATCGATATGGCTATAACCATTCATATTGACTCACTTATTAGTCACAGCAGCAGAGGTCATTCGTCAAGGGGCTGCTTCCAGTTCTGTTGCTGTAACTGATGGAGACCAAGCTTGGATCCCTTAACTCATTTTAAAAAATAAAAAGAAAAAAAAAAAAAAACGAAAAAGTATAAGGTACTTGCCTTGATGTCACACGTGAAGAACTTAGAAACCCTGCAGTCCCCGAGTTCTGCAGTTTATGCAAGGCCTGGGCTTGTACCCTGCCTTTTAGCCAGGTGCCCCCGGCACACCTAAACCTTCCTACCCCCTTTCCAGGTAACTCCAGCAAGGAAAGAGAGGAATTACTACATTCCCCTTCCAGAAATCGAACACGACAGGTCAGACTACCACAAGTTAGTCTAATCATTTACTTCCCTTCTAGCTGCTGGCAGGAGTGTGTCTGTTGGAAAGCTAAAAATTTACTGTGATGTTGCAGAAAGCGGTCACCAGGCTCACCCAGAGAGCAGGGACAGAGAAACTGCCCACAGAGACATCCCCATGGGTTCTCTGGGAAAGTAAATACATCCCAACGTCACCTTTCTCCCACCACCTGCACTTCTTTCCTCCCAGGACCAAGGGAGTGACAACCAGTAGGACCAACAACATCCACTGCTGCAGAAGAAGTGGATTTCTCTGGGAAGGGAGATGACCATCCTTTTAAGAGACTGGAACTACAAGAGGCGGATTTAAAGAAACAGGAATTGCCCTTTGCTCTCCACCTCTTTGCTTAAAGCTCAAGAAGCTGCAGTAGGTTTGTTGGGTTTTTTTCCCTATATAAGTAAAATAAAAGCTGTGGGGAGAAGGAGGGGTTGTTTGGCTTGGACACATCCTGAATTCTAAGGCTGGACACCCCTGGGAAAGCCTTGCTTATGGGAAAGAAGAAAGGATATGCTGGTTACATCAGCAAGAGAAGGCTTATATGCTCCAAAGGTTGCACAACAGATGAGAAGGGGAAAAAAAAAGTCGGGATGACACTGACACCAGGGGCAAAAACCTGGTTAGAAGTTTTGAATACTGCGCTGCCTTGTGCACCCCGCATCTCTTCTGGGTGGGTTCTTCAGTTATTCCATCAAAAACGCTGGGGTTGGTTTTTTTGTGGTTTTTTTTTTTTTTTTCAAAGTTACTAATTAGCACTAGCAAGCTGCACCGCTGCAGCGGGTGTGTGCGAGGATGAGAGGAGGAGGAGGAGGAGGATGAGGAAGGCTTAGCAGAGGCTACAGGTAGGTCCAAGCAGCAGAAACACCCCACACGCAACGTGTCCCCGGTCCCC